TCTTTCCTGAAAATCATTAGGAATGATCCTTCTGGATTGTTCTCAATGATTGATTATGGGGAAGGATTGGAGTTTAGAGTTGAACTAGAAAATTTTGTCTCCTTTTAAAAATACTTAAAACATCTTTCCTCTGTATGATTCTCATTTTTAGCATAACTAAAATATTTATGACTGTTAAATAATTTTCAGGTGATTTTTACTTTGGATTATTTTAGAGCTTCCACTGGGACCTTATATTTTTTTTCAAGACTATCATTCTTATTGAACTCCCTGAATGAAGCTTCCTGCTTAGAGAATTCTGCACATATATACATCCTTTTACTCTGCAGGGTGATGGCATTTAATTAGGAAAGCCAGGAGTGTGAGAGGACATTTTCAAGCAGCACCTCAGGTAAGAGGCCCTCTCCCCACCTCTCTGCTACTAATGCTTCTGGAACTCATTTTATACCCATCGTGCCTCACAGATTTCCCCTAGAGACCACGGAATTCAAATTGAATGAACAGATGGTCACAAATTACTGCATCTATGAACCTGCAGCAATCATGGAGGAGTAGGTGAGAGAAGACAGGATCAAGGAAGAAAGAGCTTTTTCCTCTTGTTTCTCACCTCTGTGAACTCCCTACCCTCTCTCTGCTCTTTACACTGATACCACTACATGTTTTTCTTACAACCTCTCTGTTTCCATATGCAGAGAGTTCTTCTCTCCACACAAATAACCACAATGTGTTTTCAGATACTGACGTCAATGTCTCTCTCCTCTGTTTCACAATCATAGGAACTTGTTCTCAACTTGGAAACAAGCTGTACCTAACTGAACTATGCTTTAAGGTTATTATTGAGCAAGTAGAAGAATGGGCTTCTTTCTGGCAGAGTGTTTATGAAGCACTGCTGGTCTCAATTCCTTCTACCTTGGCTGTTTTCTCTTCTCAGATCACAGGCTTTGACTCATGAGGAATAGCTGAGCCTTATGCAGGCTCACTTTCACACAAATCTAGGATCCAACGACTTTTCATAGTCTTGACTGCAATCAAACTGTGCCCCTCTATCCACCCCACCCACCAATACCACTGGGATTCTGTTTTTCCCTAGGAAACAGTTCAAACTATCTGTGCACATGTGCCTGATAACAATGTACATTTTATAGCTCATTATTTTATAGTTTATTTTATACTAAAACAAACTTCCTTTCATAGGAATTAGTACCCGAGTGAGAAATATTGCAAAGATCTCATGGAACATCCTCTTTAAGGATTTTCTTTGTCTGTATATTAAAGTGGATGTCAGTGGCTCACAAGAAAGAGTTGGCCAATAAAACACTTAATAAATACACCTTTTGACCCATTTTATTTTCTTCCATTCTCCTTCCCCAATACAATTTTTAAAAATGCATCTGATTTTTATGTATAATATAATAATTTATAATCTTCATTACATGGATTTTGGAGAAATTAAAAGAACCCAAGTATCTGCCTGTCCTCTGTCATCCTTGAAATCACATTATTTCACTTATTAAACAATGCCTTAAATGTCCCAGATTTATTTTTTCTGCCTAGGTTATAGCAGATCAGCATTTGTCTCCAGAGAGTCACTCCTCATCTGCCTTATCAGCTCTTGAGAACCTCTTGGTGTACTTGGCTGTGTGTCCACATGAGGTAAGGTCATCACAACTCGTCTTGTCAAACTTGTCATATTCCTGAGATTTCACATCACAGATCGAAAAGAATTCTTAGCATGCCTCACAACAGGGGGATTTTATAATTCAATATGCAATACCGTATTCTCTAAATTGAATGCTCACTCCAACAAAATTTCCAGCATTGTAAAATTGTGGAATAAAAAATAAATAAGGGAAGAAAATAATGGCCCACTTCAGTTATTCTATCTTAATTTGGAAAACTCAACTCATTATTACATCATGAATAGATGGCTAAGGCAGGAAGCTAGCCCTCTTGTTTAAATGTTACTTTGTTTTCTTGTCTCTGTCTAGTGGATAATGGCTGCAATAAAAAAGGGAAACTAGATTATACTTTATATTTAGCTGTATTTGGATAGTCCCTACTTTATTCACATACCAATAGCAGTATATTTATTGTGCTTTGGGATTAACAGTTACAACATTCACATCTGGACCCGAACCTCCTAATCTGCTCTCTTTCCCAAAAATCTAGATACAGTAGATTTTGTTTTCAATAAAAGAGGAAAAGGAAATATCCAAACTTTTCCCTGGATCCCTTCAGATCTTTAGGAATAGTTTGTATATAGCCTTCTTAACATGAAAGCTTTCCGTATGTCCTTGTCTGGCTTTGGCTTGCTGTGACCACAGGCATCCAGATATAATAGAATTACCCTTTCTAGTTGGCCCTCCCTATTCACCTGTATCCATAAGTTTTCTCATTCATGGATTTGAGTTATATCTGTACTGAACATACACAGATTTTTTCATGTCATTATTTCCTAAAAATATAACTTATTTCATAGTATTCATATTATATTAGGTATTACAAGCAAATTAGAGATGATTTAAAGAGTGTAAAAGGATGTGCACAGATTATATACAAATACTACACCATTTTATTTAAGGGGCTTGAGCATCCATGAATTTTGGTATCTACAGTGGGGGTGGGAGGACCTGGAACATTGCAATACTCATCAGGTGCTGAGAGAGGTCTGTGTATGTAACCATACCCTGCCAGCTTCCTTACAATGCTCTTAAGAAAAACTTTTTATCCACATCCCTGAAAATGTAGGGAAGACTCCAGTGAGCTGTCAGGAAGAAGTGCACAGATGTAGTAATATACAACAGCTTGTACCTGGGAATGAGGGCCTGGAGAAGCAGCCACATGGAAATGCCAGGGAGCTGAGGTGCAAGATTCTGCAAGGGAGGACTCTAGATCAATTTGCTTACTGCATCCAGCCTTTAGCACTTTTTAAATTGCTTGGAAGTTTCTGGCACATTTTCAAGAAGGAAAATGGTCTGTCTCTCTGAGGAAAAACTAGTTTATGTACTAAAGGAACCTTTTTTCCATAGCAGGCTTGCAAATAAGCTGGCACACTGAATAATTACACCCTACTCTTGGGGCTCAGAAAGAACAGAGAGTGGTACTGTCCACTCCCTGTGCACACATGGCAGCCCACACACTAGGCCACGGGGATGGGGGACCAGGATACTTACATGCACACGAACCTTGGTACAAGGTCTAGGAGAGAGGACTCCACAAAAAAAGGAAGCAGGATAGTTTATAAGGCTTTAGATACAAAAGTTCAATGGGGTTTGACATCTGAACATCAGGATGACTATAGTTAGTAATAATGTATATTTCAGAATAGCTAAGAGTAAATTTCAAATGTCTCACCATAAGAAATGACAGGCAATTCAGTTGATGCATATGCCAGTCTGATTTAATCTTGCTCCAGAATATGTATGTGTGTGTATTAAAACATCATGTCACATCTCATAAATGCATATATAATAATGATTTAGCAATCAAACATGATATTATTAATAAAAAGACCACAATCTCAATGATTGGCTTAATTTTTTGATAAAGCTTTAGCTTTGATATCCACACCTAGTAAAAAGAGTATCAAAAATGAAAAAAATAGCAGAAAATTTTACATTAAAATAAAAATGGCACAATGTAAGCCTCATATGGTAGAAGCATATTACCACGTTATCATTGTAAAATGCACTGCCCATTTCATATCATTCTTTACTAAACATCAAGTGCCCACAGAAGTAACAGTTCACCATTCTGATGCCAATTACTAAGGTTGCTGGATCTGGGCTTCTCTCTGAACCCCCAGAGCCTGCTCCAATGCTGCATCCACCACTCTCTCTTCATTGTGTAACCCCTGGCAGCCTGGACATTCCAGAAACACATATTGGCCTCCCGTTGTCCATGTAACTCTCTCTCTCTCTCTCTCTCTCTCTCTCTCACCCCCTTCCTTTCCTTCTCTTTTTCTCTCTCTCTCCCTCTCCTCTCTTTCTCTCTCATACAATGAAAAGGTCATGTGAGCACACAGCAGGACATGGCTGTATACAACCCAAGGAAAGAGCTATCTTCAGATAGCTGGCACTCTAAGCTCACCTCTAGCACTGTCAGAAATCAAGTATCTGTTATTTAAATCACCTAATCTATAGTCTTTTGTATGGCAGTAAGACTAGGACACTCATCCATAGTCCATATTAAAATGTTTTCATTGTCCCAACAACATCTTTTATTTTATTTCCCTCAGTTCAGGATCAACCCATGAACATATATTTTATTTACTTGTCACATCTTTTTATTCTCATTTAATCTGGTACCTTTCCACTGTCTTTATCTTTTATGACCTTAAAGATTCTGAAGACTACAGGTAAATTATTCCATATACTGGCCCTTGATTGGGTGTGTCTCATGTTTCCACATGATTCAATCCAGGTAGCTTTGGGAGGACTAATGACGTATAGTCTTATCCTTCTCTGCATTATACCCGGAAGTATTTAGTATTGGTGGTCCCAATACCAATAATGTTTATTGTTAGTATCCACTGGGCTTGCCACGGTTTCTCTCTTTGTAATAAAACTTATTTGGGATACTTTAAGGATATGCAGATATCTTTTTTTTCCTTTCTCTTTTATTATTCATATGTGCATACATGGCTTGGTTCATTTCTCCCCCCTGCCCCCACCCCTCCCTTACCATCCACTCCGCCCCCTCCCTCTCCCCCCCTCAATACCCAGCAGAAACTATTTTGCCCTTATTTCTAATTTTGTTGTAGAGAGAGTATAAGCAATAATAGGAAGGAACAAGGGTTTTTGCTGGTTGAGATAAGGATAGCTATACAGGGCATTGACTCACATTGATTTCCTGTGCGTGGGTGTTACCTTCTAGGTTAATTCTTTTTGATCTAACCTTTTCTCTAGTACCTGGTCCCCTTTTCCTATTGGCCTCAGTTGCTTTTAAGGTATCTGCTTTAGTTTCTCTGCTTTAAGGGCAACAAATGCTAGCTAGTTTTTTAGGTGTCTTACCTATCCTCACCCCTCCCTTGTGTGCTCTCGCTTTTATCATGTGCTCATAGTCCAATCCCCTTGTTGTGTTTGCCTTTGATCTAATGTCCACATATGAGGGAGAACATACGATTTTTGGTCTTTTGGGCCAGGGTAACCTCACTCAGAATGATGTTCTCCAATTCCATCCATTTACCAGCGAATGATAACATTTTGTTCTTCTTCATGGCTGCATAAAATTCCATTGTGTATAGATACCACATTTTCTTAATCCATTCGTCAGTGCTGGGGCATCTTGGCTGTTTCCATAACTTGGCTATTGTGAATAGTGATATGCAGATATCTTGGTCCTCATTAAAATTCTACCTACCAGTTTGAGCCTCCATTAAGAATTTTTAACTCTACCATTCTTTCTCCATTTGTTGATTGGCATTCCATTGCCAAAAAAAGCTGCTTTCCCTTCCTCATTTCTCTGTTTTGAAAATTAATACAAGAATGGGCTCATGAATTCTTGTTTTTATTTAATGGATTACAAGTATTGTTATCATTTTTGTTGCTATGTTTTATGCTCAAATTATTCCTAAATCTGACCAGTGAAATTCCCTCCCAGCTGACTTCTCTGTCTTTTTGGCATGTTTTTGTCATTCTTTGGACAGTGAGTTAATAGATTTCCATCATATAACAAAGTACCTGATAAATTAACTTATTTAGGCTCATATTTCTGGTGGTTCTAGTCTATGACTGAGAGTCTCACATCCTCGGGCCTCTGGCGGGACAACAAGTACCTCTCTGGGGACCAAGTCTTTAAACATTGACCTATGGGGAACACTCATTCTAACCATAGCAGACACTTTCATGCTTCCTGCCCCAACAAGATATTTCAGACTCTTCTTGGTCTTAACTGCTCAACTTCTAGAATCAGGCATTCCTCCAAGAAACCCTGGTCCTGGTTCCTTTGGTGGAGGCTGTGATTAGAGATCAAGATCATTTGTATACTATATGCACTTTCCTATATGTGTAGTTTTGTTTAAAGGCATCTCAGCAAACAACAGTGAAATATACTAATGCGTGCGCACGCGCACACACACACACACACACTATGCATATAGATGGATATATGATGTTGTATGTGTGTTATGTATATTTGTGTATATGTATATATGCACATACACAAGTACTCATGCATATATAGAGATAGAATTATTCTCTTCTACATCATTCAAACATTTGAAATAATTTCCTTTCTTCCTTTCTTTTCTCCTTTTTTCCTTGTTTGTCTTCTAGCTGTGATTCTCTGTCTTTTCTCTTCCTTCCTTTATTTTTCTTCTTTAGTTACAATTTCTTTACTTGTAGTCAAGAGAAAGAGCCTGAGAATTTTCTTGATACAAAATTTGTATACTTCTTTTCTACACTGAAGGAAAAATGGAATAGGTAAGAGAGGTGCTAGCAGGCTCAGTGGCTCCATCTATAATCCTAGCTACTCAGTAGAGGGAGATTTGGAAGATCATGGTTCAAGGCCAACATGAGTAAAAAGTTCACAAGACCCCATCTCAACCAAAAAAAGGTAGGCATGGTAGTGCTGCCTGTCACTCCAGCTACACAGCAAGTATATTGTGACCCCAGCCATCCTGGGTAGAACTCTGAGAGGTTATCTCAAAAAAAACCAAAAGTAAGAAGGGTTGGAGAGATGGCTTCAAGTGGTATAGCACATATATGCCTAGAAAGTGCAAGGCTCTGAGTTCAAACCCCAGTACCACCAAAACAAAGAGATGATGAAGAGCAGAAGTGTCCCAGGAAGAAATACAGACCCACCAGCAATCAGCAACATGCTGTGACCCATCAAGTCCCTTGTTCTCTGGCCAAAAAATGAGGGATGTTGATCCTGGCAACTGTCCTTTGTAGCATCTGGTCACAGATACTTCAGAGAAACAAGAGGAACTAGGACTTAATGTTTTAAAATGTCATAAGCCTGATGATAAAATAAACTTAAGAATAAATAGATTTTGCAGCTTAAAGACATAACACCACTTTAACTCATTTTATGATCCTTAAGTAAAATATATATAGTCTAAAGCAATACTGCAAAAGAAAAAAAATTAAGAGATTCGTAATTTGACATAAAGTATTTTTCTACCTTAACTTTCTAGCTAAAGAGCTAATTAATAAGTTTATTATTCTCTTTTTCAACAATTTGTCCTGACTAATGTGGTGTGAATATAAAACAGGCGTGTCTGGGACAAGTGCAAGGACCCACAAATCAAATGCAGGGCTTATAAAACTGAACTTTCCCAGTCTGGTACATTTTTCAAGAATATTCCAATAAAGTGCTCATCTATGTTGATTTGTCTGCTTCATTCTTGGCCTTATGGCTTTTAAAAAGTCATGGACTCATAGAATTTTATAGTCTGAAGGATCCTTCAAACTTATACAGTCCTATCTGCTCATTCTGTGCCCACTTCTGAAGGAATTATTTATTATGGCAATTTTAAAAGTCAGAGACTATTTAGTATTTTACATCACTATAATGAAATTTTCTCAGTGCCTATCATAAGGTTGTAGTCAAGTAGCTTCCAAATATTTCAGTAAAACATTCCTTAGTTAAATTATTGAATAATTACTGTGTGTAGGCAACTGTGCGGATGCTGTGGATACAGCTGACTGGTATTTACAGAATAGATGGGAGAGGCTGTGGATAGAGGAAGGGCAACTAGTTAGAAGGCAATTCCACTAGTCATGTAAGCAAAAGATAGCTATGATACTGACCAGCATGATATGTAAAGTGGTGCATTTGTGGGATTTAGACATATCTGTAGAACTTCTAGATTACACTAACAGGATGTGAAATGTGCATGAAAAAGGAAGAATTCAATAACTTCAAGTTTGATGTTAGTCTTAAAAATTGGAACAATAAAATTACCTTTTATATTGAAATGGAAAAGGCAAAGGGAGAATAGTTCATGGGGGAGAGAATAAGTGTATAGTGTGGGTATAATAATAATTTAGTGTATTCAATTTCCAAGTGGAGACATGTAAGTATTCCAAAAGGATAATTTATATGGATCTCAAGCCTGGAGAGGTCATCAGATATTAAGTAGAATGTTGTAGCATCAAACTAGGACCAAAGGTATATTTTTACCAGCATTAATTGAAGACTTACTGTACGATGGCAGTTGTTCTGAGTGCATGAGCTTATTTAGCTCTCATAGTGATCCAGTCCAATCAATTATACTGTCATTATTGTTGTTTGCAGGTACTATATGTAAACTTAGAGCAAAGAGACACCATGTAGTATGCCCCAGCATTTATTGCTAGTAAATTCTAAAGCAGAATTTTAACCCCAGAAGTCTAACTGCACAGCTCGTTCATAACCATTATTCTGCTCCTATTGATGTAATGTGATCTTGACCCAAAGAAACTTATGATTTAAATAAACAAATAAAAGTAGAACCATGGGGAAGGAAAAAACCCTAAAGATTAGTTAAGCATTACAATGTCATGGTGTTGACTAGGAGGCAAAGGAGTTTAGAATATGTATGAACTTCTAAGATAATAGGACACACCAATAATTAGCAGCTTCATTGTGCTTAAACTGCACACTGGAGATGTGAAAGAATTTGTCAGACTACATAGATTTCCAATCTATAGTCAGAGATTAGCTTAGTCATGGATATTATCAAGCTCATGATGGCTATTTAGTTAGATATTGTGTGCACCTTGCCCTACTGCCTAGCATTGTCATTTAAGTCTTTCTTCATCAGCCTTCATCAAGTGGCAATTAGTGTGCTACTAGAAAGTTCATTTTATTAACCCCTTGTCTTCTAAATAGAGGGCTACAGTCTATGTTCAGTTCATTCTACATAATGAGGAAGAACTTGGGAACTTTGTGAGAATTCCAATTAATTCGACAGGTATTTATTGAGCACCACATTGAGAGTAGTAATGTACTAAGCACTGTGAGATTGTTAGTCTTTATTAAAAGGGCTTGCAAGCTTTATGCCAAACTGTGCTAATTGATTTCCCTCCCTTGAAGATAAAGCAGGAGTCTCTAACTTCCTAATGATGAAGTACTGCTACTTTTCCTATGCCAGGATGACCACTGAACTACTAGAACCCTACTATAAGGGATTAACATTGCTGACATCAGTACTGAAAAACTATACTGTAAGGGGAAAAAAGCCTACTTGGAATTACTTTTTCAGTTCAAAGAATCATTTGGACCATGCAGAGTCTACAGCAGCAATGAATGTCTGTTCTGTGCTCCAGGTCAGTATTGAACATGGCCATGGGCCAAATCTACTCCATCACCTGTTTTTGTATGGCGTGCACTAAAATTTTTGAAAAAACAAAAATAATAGTATTCAATGATATGCCAAATTATATGAAATTGATAGGTCAGTGTCCATAAATAAAGTTTTATTGGAAAGAGTCACGCCTCATGTATTGTCTATGGCTATTTTTGTGCTATGTAAAATGGTAGAGTTAAATATTTATGATGGAAAGCCATATGTTCTCCAAATCCTCATCCTTTACAGAAAAATTGCTCTATCCATGCTTTATATATTTATAAAGCATCTAGTCCTAATATATTTTGGAATATTTGTACGTCTGTCTTGAAAATCACATTTCTATCAATTTGACATAAGTTAATCAAACATAAAAGGACTATCTTTATAAATGAGCAAAAATTAGAACATTGAGAAAATTAATGTCATTAAAATTCTAAATTTGATTAGTTACATTTTGGCTACCTTTTAATGACCATCTCCTTCTTTAAGAAAGTACATTCCTAAATATATCTTACATGACCAATATAGTTCTGTACACAGGTAGAGAGTGTTGGTCATTTTCTGTTGAATAAAGTAGAGAAGTCTTTGGTTGTCATTGTTGTTCTAGGAGCAGAGCCCTTGGACTTAGCAAAAGCAGGACAATTATTTTACAACTGGATATGGCTTCGACTATCCCTTGTCATTGTAGCTGTCAATATAGGTATATTTGTTCTTGGTTTGAAATGAGAAAACCAAGGCCCTGTGACAGTATCATTGCTGCTACATGAAGTAAATCATTGGATGTAGAGTCAAAGTCCCTGACCTCCTTCCCAGTCAACGTTCCAAGGACCAAATCTAGAAATGGAAGTGAATCCTTAACCAACTAACCTCACTGAGACGTAAGAGCCAAATGAAATGTGCAGAAACATGCTATGCAAACCCTTACATTAAAAAGAAAGAGCAAAAGACAAGTGATTTGCTTAGATTAGGTAACTCTTGGATAACTGTCAGGGCTTGCCTTCCATAGTGGAATGCTCATCGGCCTTCATTAACCAAGGCTAGTGGAGGTGAAAATGAAAACCATTTTCTATGGAAACTCATGTCTTTGGCTGTCAAACATTTTAAGGTTAGTTAGTATGAATTTTATGCCAGAGGGACCCAGGATATACAATTTCAGAGCTCTCATCTCTTTTCTCCAGTAATTAGAAAGACAAAAGCTATATAACTACTGTAACAAAATACCATCAATTAAGATTTTGCTTTACAGCATGCTTGCTACTATCATGAGTGTCAATATACCAGTGCTCCTGATGTCCCTCGATCTATGTCTTTTGTAATAAATTGCAAATTTACTCTACCAAATAATATAATTGATAAAATCACCATACTGTAGACTTCAATGAATTGTTTGTGTGATGGTGTTGTTCTTCATTACATGCTTGAGTACACTCATTAAGCTCAGAGAGAATGATAAGCCTGAAACAGCCCAAACACCGACCATGCAACGAACCAGCAGGAAGCACACATTTCAACCACCCCAGGACCTGGCA